CATGGTGGCATGTCAGTGGTTCCTGAAGCGCTTCCGACCAGACACAGCTCCGACCGCACAAGGGGACATCAGTGGAAGCTGCAGAAACCGAACGCAAGAACGCTCACGAGGAGGAACACCTTCAGCACAAGAGTCGTGAATGACTGGAACTCCCTGCCAGCTTCTGTAGTGTCTGCCACCAGCGTCAATCAGTTCAAGGCCAGGCTGGACGAACACTGGAAAAGCCTGAAGTATGACATTCCATACCCATAAGAGCCCAGACTGTCCTAGTCCTAGAGCTCGATGAGAACGGGATCTCCAGGCCAAGTGGCCTTTTCCCTCCCGATCACTGTGAAGGTAAGGTAAGGTAAGGTAAAAGCAGCATCCGGAAATTCCCATTGGTGGGTCGCTGAAAAAAAGTTCGGCTGAGCCTGTTTGTCAGTATGTATGTATGTGAGTTTGTCCAAGCTTTTTTGGACCTGGAGTCAAAATGTGTGGACCGATCGGGACCAACGTGGTACCGTTCGACTCGTCACCGGCGAGGTAAACTTTTGATGCTGGCCTCGGTTCGCTCAGTGCTTCGTGGCACATGCTATTCCACTTCAAAGTTTCGGTGACACGAAATTTTTTGTCAAGGCTACAGGTCAACCCGAGGTCACGGACAAAGCCACACTGGCGGGACACATCGGTAACACCTTGAACCAGTTTCCAGGGGGGTCACCGTCTGCGAGGGGTGCAGGCTGCACGTGCTGGTGGCGGAAAGCCGTTTTGACGTGAGGTCCTCTGGCTCCAAGAAATTTTGAGCTATCAACTTCAAAATCGGTTCAATTGTAGTCCCAGGCAAGGCCTCCAAAATAGTGCACATTTGGTTGAGCTAAACTCTGTGGTGCATGAGCTATGCACGTGCAAGCCGATTGCACCCCTTCGTACGTTGCCACGCCTGCAGGGTAAACGGCGGCTCTAACTGGTTCAAAACTTGCAGGTCATAAGAAAAAATGCATTGAATCTTGACATTGCGGCGAGATAATATCCGAGGGGTGCAAGCTGCGCGTGCGGGGGGCGGTTAACGGTTTTGACGATGGATCCTCTGATCACGGGAAACGTCGAGATAGCGACACAAAAGTCGGTACACTGATAGAACTAGACACATGCTACAGGATGCTATGAAAATGACTGCACTGGGGTGCCTGGGACATGAACTATGCACGTGCATATCTTACTGTAGGTAGATATCCACACCAATCTCACGTGCTTCCAAGCATTTTTGGGATGTTTTGGTTGGTTTCAGGTTCAGTCCAAGCTCAGTCTGGGTTTCGGTGGTTTGGCCCGGTGTGTGCCTTCAGTACCGTACCTCCAATTCTGGCCCAAGGCAACGCAAGAGCGCTGCCGGCATCTAGTTTAAATTCACGTTTAAGTGTGCCTTTGTCCTAAAGATTAGCCGGTATTAGTATATATTAGGTCCGAGTGGACAATTGTGACGCTGTTGATACAAATATGTAACAGCAAAAAATTTAGGTTTTAGGTTAGGTTAGGTTGTAGGTTTGTAGGTTTTAGGTTTTAGGTTGTAGGTTTGTAGGTTAGGTTAGGTTAGGTTGTAGGTTTGTAGGTTGTAGGTTGGTAGGTTGTAGGTAAATAGGTAAGGTTAGGTCAGGTTTGATTATGTTTTTCTTTTATTTCCAGGACATATAAGTATCATTTTTGGATTCAGGATGTCAAATAATGTAAGAATATGAAAACTTTATCTTTTAACAGTCACTCGGACTTAATGTATACTTTTACCAATTAGCCCTTCTAATTTAGCTTCATGTACCGGTAAATCATAAATGTCAAGATAAAGTCCTGAGAAGATTTCGGTAACGGTAGCGCAGGCGTCACCGATAGCTTCGGTGGTGTAAACACACCTAAAACCTTCAAACCTACGGGAAGTTCTGGGGCCACAAAATGGACGGAGTGCCGAGCAGTGTATTAGAGGCTGGCCGAGGGCCAGGCAGCGGAGCAGCACATGCTGGAGCAGATCAGCCTCTTCTCGGCACACGCGCCGCGGGGCACCGCTTGTCTGGGCACTGCTGGTACGCCATGGAGTGGAGACAGCCGATTCGTTGCACGTACTGGACCGAGCGGCCCCAGCGGCCCGCCCTCATCTGGTGCACCGAAACCGGGCGCCCTCTCGGCCCAGACCTCTCTGGGGATAGGAAGCGGCAGCGCGCTCCCTAAGAGTGGCTTGATTAGTAGGGCTGCGGAGTCGGAGTCGGTCGGAGTCGACAGTTGTGACCGGAGTCGGAGTCGGAGTCGATATTGGAAACCCCAGTCGGAGTCGGAGTCACCGAAAATCTGTCGACTCTGCAGCCCTGCTAGGTGTGCGGAGTCGGGAGTTGGAGTCGATCGGAGTCGACATTTCTGCTCGGAGTCGGAGTTGGTTTTTGAAAGTCGGAGTCGCCGTAAATCCATCGACTCCGCAGCCCTGTTGATTAGTGACTGGGACCATTGTCGCGCTATTACCGCGAGGTTATTTTATTTCATCGTCACACTGCGCACTGGTTGTCAATCACGTTTACCATACACAACACAGACTGAGCTATGCTTGACACCAGGAGCTCGCCAAGATCGGGTCTCACAGGCCTTACAGCCTAAAAAAAAAAAATCCCATTACCGAAAGGTAAGGTAAGGTTGCAATATAATGAACCGCCCGGGTCAGCGAGTGGGCATTTGAGGGCAAGGCGGCCGCTCATTTCGCCAGGTCGTCCGCTCTCTCATTCCCCTCGATCCCGCAGTGGGCAGGAAGTAGGAACCCACTACAGATTTACTTTGCAACGCTTCATGATGTCCAACAAGGCCTCTCATACCTATCTCCGCGCCGAGGGTGAAGGCCTCACGTGGGCGGCCTCCCCTCCGCTCAGTAGACTAAAGGCGTCTCGTGAGTGAGCACGCGACGACCGGAGCGGGGGATGTTTTGTCCCGAACCCTCTCCAGAGCCGCCCGCAGGACGAATCTGCTGCTAGACTGGCCAGCGTGTCGAAAAATGGAGTGACCGTCATTCGTCGAAAAATTTTGCGACAGCCGTGCGCCGAAAATAAAATTCAGCGGCCACTTTGCGCCGAATTCGGCGCATGCGAAGTTACGCCGGACGTGCGCTGAAATTCTCGGCGCAATCCCGCCACTACACTGGACATATTCGGCATAACGTGTATTTTTTTCCAGTCTGGTTGGAACGACGGTGACGTCGATTTGTTTACGTACAGTCCACAGCAGAAATAATGTGCGGTCTCAGTCATGTTCTGCGTCTGAATGTTAGGAACGATTAGCCAGACTACAATGAAACTTTTAACGTAGCTTAGATTAATCGTCAGTCGTCACCCTTGCTGCTGCAACTTTATCTATTGATGGCTTCTTTTCGATCACTCCACATTGAAAAAGTCGCCATTCAAAGCCATCCGCTGAAATTGGTGAAATCGCACATTACTTCAGCGATGGGTTGTACCACGCGGGCATTCGAGTTCGAGTGTTGTGTATGGGGTTCCTGAATTCCTCCTCTGACTCTCCTATCTCTATCCTATTGGACATTGTTGGAACCTGACTAGCGCAAACGTTGAGCAGTGCGGCTGCTGATTACAGGTGCTGTGGATCGTTCTGCGGGTCCCTCGGGGAGCTGAGTTATACCACAGCTATCGTTGGTTGGTATCAGGGACGGAGCCAAGGGGGGGGGGACACGGGGCCCATGCCCCACCCCTGAAGATGAAAAATAAAATTAAAATGAAATAAAAGATAAAAATAAATAGAAACGCTGCACAACATCCCCAAAAATGGTGGGCCAAATCCGAGGAGTTTTCCTTTTTTGGAGGGGTACGACACTAGGCCGCGACCTGTGGCGCCTCTATGAGCAAAATCCTGGCTACGTGCCTGACAGGTATTGGATGTTAGACCCAATACACTGTGGAACTTTGAAGGTGTGTCAAGTGTGGTGGCAGTGAAGCTGGTGAAGTTCTGTTGAAGATGAAAGCACGCGCACAGTTAAACAAGCTGAGAGTCGGTCGTTTCGTAACAGTGCGTTTAACTCACCTGTTAAACTCACCTGTTGGGTTTCCTTGAATCACTCACCAGTGCATGAGGAGAGGCAGGAAACCGTGTAGGAAAGACGCGCCAATTCCCCTGGTTACGCTGGGCGCTGAGAGATGGACCGCAGGGGGATTGGGATAATGCGTCTGCTTGGTGTTGGAGGAGGAAAAATTCTAGATGTGATTAGCTGTGCAGTGTCGGTTCCTCTCCAAAAGAGCGAGGTCTGCAATCTGCCTCTGGTTATAATATGCACAAGCAAGTCTCGAGGTCCAGGCATTGGCTGGCCTGCCCTGACACGGCTGTCCCAACAGCCAACCATCAACCATCAGTTCACCATATACCGTGCCAACCATCATGTGCCACCTCTGTGGGTAATTCAGGGGTGATCCTTGGCTCTCGGCCCAGCAGGCAGAGCTCGGCTGGTGGGTCGCCCTGGCAAAGATGAGCTCGGACACCTGGCTTCCTGGTGTTGGTGTTAAGGGGAAATTATCTCGTGTTTTGGTGGCCTGCAGAGCTTGATGTACTTATGAGGCTCTCGACTGTTGGCTTGTAGTTGCTGGAGGCAGTTAGGGTCAACAATTGGAACAATTGCCCAATTGGACATTTGGGGCACAATGGGTCCTGTGCAGCTAGTCTGCTTACTTTGGCTCTGGTTCTCTGGATCCTTCATGCAAACATTTGAGCTGAATTTATGAAAAGGGCTAGCTCCCAGCAGTACTTCAAACTACTACCTATTCATCTATGTAGTGTTGCAATAAACCAGCAAGGATACTTTTGTATTGTGCATAATGATACTTTGTTTACAATGATTTTTTTGTAAACCTCTCGTTTACAATGAGTTTTTGCAAACCTCAGTATGAAGTAACTTTGTCGCCTGCCCGTCCAACTACCTCATAATAATGAAGCTGCTCTAATTGTGATATGTACAATAATTGTACTACTCTGCTTTGTAACTTTTCTTATTGTGATATGCACCAATTTTAACACACTGTCCTTATTTTCAGATACTGATCACATTACCATGCTGAAGTCACACCTAACATCAGAGGGCCATCTGCTGTGTGCGGCCATCCTTTTTACCTTAGTCAGCCCGCTCCTGGCACCCCCTCCTACCACGCCCCAGCCGCCAGACCAACGGCTCATCTCCGAAGACGTCAAACGTTTTCTCCCCCACTCAAAGTGTTCTAGTATTCTCCCTCATCCTGTGTTGGACCTCCTTCTCCGCCCGCTCGGGTTCAAACTCTCGGCGAATGGGATGAAGTATAATGCTACGTGTACCCGGCCGTATCCTCAAACTGAACAGACGTCGGTACCCGATCCTTTGGGGGAGCTTTGTACGCTGGCTTTTACCACACTCCAAGAAGCATGCAGTCTGGGCTCTGCGTCATCCACGGCAATTCAAGCTGACGTCATATCAAGAATCCCATCCAGGGAGAAGACTCCTTTAGAGGAGGTTTGTGCTGAACTCTCTCAGTGGGTTACGCAAATTACCCCTCCTGGTGATCACTCGGGGAGGCTCTATGGAGATCAATGTGAATCAACCTGTGCCGATCCGGCTGGATCGGGATTGGCCAATGGTGATTGCTACGGGCTGTACCAAGGAAGAAAATTAGTGGCTGTGCTGAAGGACGCGACAGGTCAACACAACGCAGGTGCAGGTGGGTTCAAAGCTTTTTTTGGTGCTAAGTGTTTCATGCGGGAGCCAATACGCACACTCGCACAATCTTGGGCTCTTAATTCTGGCTTGGCTACCTAAAGGTATTCATCTGTTGAAGTCGAAGCGAAAGGTGTCCTATTTCAATTGTAGTGTTTTTTGGAGTGTTCACCTTTCAATCTATCAATGCTAAATGCATCTGCATTTTTCGGGTCATTAATCGCACGCTATTATAAACGAATGCACTCGTCCTAAGCGCCAGGAACATAGACGATGGTTTTAAGCTGGTTTATTTCGACAAAGTATATCGAAAACCAATAAACACATATGTACCTACGCCATATACTGTATTTTGTGTGAATGCTCTCATGATCTCGACACTGTTTGAGGAGGTATTTGATGCTTTGTTTCAGGTGGTAGCAATGTCGGAAATCCCAACTCACAGTCACTTCATGCCCCCGGGGCCGCGCAGCAAGGTAAGTGTAAAGGGGCACACTGATCATGGTATATCTTACCTATAAGTAATCTTGCATCCCATCCACATGGGATGTGAAACAGTAACGCGCACAGGACCTGGCAGTACCCAGTCTTATCTCATGACTGGGATCTTAGTAGTCAAATTAGTCGAATCACTACGTCTTCAAAAGGTCACTAATTAGGCTAACTGTATTGATGATATTTCATATGCGCTTTGCATGTAATGATGGTCGGGTACATTGCTATGCTAGTTCTTCTATTATTTGTGTATTTGTATCTCTCGACTAACTGCATGAGAATAAGCACACACATATGAGATCGTGCTTATACATTTATATCTTAAACCCCTTCTTTGTCTATCACCTGTTCTCACCGCATGAGTGTAGCGTTGTATTGGCTTCTACTTGTCATGGAAACACCTAGTATGCGAGCAAATTATACCTGTAGCTAGCTTGATTAACTTGTGGTAGCTAAATGTATGCAATACCATCACTAGCTCTCAGTGTCTCGTAGTAAAGTTGATGAATTTTCACTTTTCAGTGTTTATGTAGCTATGTAGTTTATGTAGCTACTTTATATTTGGCATTCTTCCTGTAACCACGATATCATTTGCTACATCATTCCCGGCACCCTGACATCATAACATGTCGTCATATTCTGTAACAAATCGCTAACATCGCCACGCTACCCTGCAATCGCCAGAGGGAGCTCCCGTCATCGCTCCTTCATCCGTCGGCTCTTCGACTGTTTCTCCAGCTTCAGTAACTGCGACTACCACGACAGCTTCCTCTGGTGAAGGCTCCTCCACTCCTGCTCCTGCCGTAGCTGGAAGAGTTGAAGCTGTAGATGGAGGTGCTGAAACAGCAGCTGGTAGACCCGAAGCTCCGGCCGGAAATCCTGAAACAGGAGGTGGAAGTGCTGAAGTATCAGCTGGAAGGGGTGTTGTTGGGCGCCTTGGTGGTGCGGCTCAAGGTACCAACGTCGGAGAAGTGAAGTTGGATCGTTTGGCTGCCAGCGATGGAGCGGGGTCTCTCGCTAATGCTGTCAAAAATGACGCACCGGGAATCATTCCTCCTCACGAAAGCGACGTTCAAGTGACTCCCACTCCCGGCAACAATGGCCCATCAAAGGTCACTGGTGTTGGTATAGGCGCAAGTGGCGCTTCAGCAACATCTACCGTCAAAGACGCATCCAAGACCAATGCTATTGGCGGAGACATAAATGGCGCAGCGGATACCAAAACGGTGCCGGATGTTGGAGACAACAGTGGCGCAAACGGCGGTAACGCGGCGACTCTGACACAGGGAGACATCAGACCAGAAACAGGTAAGAAACGG